TGCCAAGAACTGTATTGTCATGAATAGGCTTGATATTTATTCCTAATAAGCAGAGAGGTTGTAAGGTGCTGCTTTCCCCAGTATATGAAAAGGTTGTACGTTGAGCTCCTCTGCGGGCACTGTTTGACTTTTGATCTTATTTGTAAAGTAAATTATTTATTCATGCCGTAGCATAAAAGAGTAAGAGTATAAAACGTTTTACAGAGCCCTTTAACTTTAATACCACCCCTCCACTCTGCCCTCAGCCAAGCTATGGTGATATTCTTTCTGAATGCCAAAGGTCACTGAGAATGCCACTGTCCTGTTAGCAGAGTTGATCTCCCCTCAACCCCAACCTATCTTTGACAATTTTTTCACATTTTTTGGTGGGTAAGGATGTTAATGGTACTGAAGGGTTGATTCTTAGTTTTATCATAGTTTTTGTTGTCTGCTTCTTTTATGACTGTACTCTTACAATAAAAAAAAAAGTCATGGTGTACTGCAAGCCTACTGTAATACACAAATTTTAAGTGGGGATTTTCCTGAATTAAAAGGTATATATATATAATATAATGTTTTGATTTAAAATAGAAATGCTGACTGGAGTTTAGCTGGCTGAATATGTTTTTACTCCCTGAGAATACTTTCACTTTCAGTTCTTTTTCTGCCTTTAAATGAAAAGAAGCTTTTTGTTGTTGCTCTTGTCCTTGTTATAATGAATAAAAATAAAATAACTGCTTTCTTTTTTACATAAAGAGCTGAAGAGTGCATGTTTTACAGAGCCCTCATTTTAAAAGTCACCTCTCCCATCTTTACAGAACCAAGCTGCTGTTATGGTGAATTATATCTTTCTGAATGTCAAGGGTTATTGAGAATCTCAGAATGTCACTGTCCTGTTCATGAGAGTTGATCTCCACTCAGCCCCAATCAGGGGCGGTTTGTTAACTGGGCATGACCAAATTTTTGTCAGTTGGACTGTTGACAAGAGATTTATATCTGATGATGATTTTCATTCAGTTTTAAGTAAATCCAAAAAAACATGTATCAACATTCAAAAGGGCCTTGCCGATTTGAAGGCGCTCAAATAGAGAAGTGGGATTCACTGCTGTTTTGTCGCGCCGGCTCGTAACTTTAAATCGTCTCCCGTCAAGCCGTCATGTCGCGGAACTTCGTACTACGTACGAGGCCAAACCAAACGCGGCGATGAGTCCTGTGGACAAATCCATCGACTGTCCTCAGAGCGAATAGTACATCCCTTAATTGCCAAATTGGCCTCTTTGTTGCTTACAAAATCAAGAATGAGACTGTCATGAGCAGCACAGACACATGTATTATTTTTTCAGCAAAACATGTATTTATCATTCAGCCTTTCTCTTATACTATCAGAACATTTATTGTCAGCATGGCACTAATCTTTTTTTGTTTATTGACTTTTTAACCACCTATAGTTCCTGTTTGGCATTCACTCATCGTTTTCTCCCCACTAATAACTTACCTGGCCCA